GAGAGAGAGAGAGAGAATCTCAAACAGACTCCCCGCTGAGCACAGAGCCTGACCAGGGCTTGATCCCACAACCCTAAGATCATGACCTGAGCTGAAACCAAGAGTCGGACGCTCAACTGACTGAGCCACCCAGGTGCCTTTCATTACATGATTTTTTAAAAAATCTTAGATCCTTTCTGAAATTAAGTTCAAGTACAAATAAATTAATAAAATAGTGAAACAAAGCAAAGACCAAAGATAAAATCCCCAGAATATTATATAAACTATGTTAGAGGCTGGTTTTAGTGTGTGATGCTCCAAACTGCTAGGATACAAAAAGCCTCATTTCCTTTAGTATAATTCAAATTGCTATGTTTTGTTATGACTTCTGATATGCAAGCCAAAATTAAAGTGTTTTTTTTTTTCTCTTGTAGTTTACAAGGGCAGACTTTTGTGGTTTCGAAAGGGTAAGAAGCTTTAAATTCCCAAGGGTTGGTTAGAAGATAGGTGTTTCCTCGATGACCTAAGAGATGAGGTGCAAGACAAGAATCCACAACATAGATCATTCCTGTTACTATGATCTGATTTACAGTTTGAACTTAAACATGTTTCCAGCAAACATTAAGCAATGATCTCCCCTTCTGTTTCAAAGGAAGAAGTGCCTTTCCTTGTTCAGAGGCCGCCCCCACCCCTTCTTTGTATGTTCTGTCCGGATTGTTGTGGTTGTTGAGGTGTATTCTGCACGATGGCATCCAGCTGGAAAGAGAGTGGAGGCTGAAATTTGGCTAACACTTCTCTCCCCAGTCCACCTACTCCCATGTGGGTCTGTGCCTACGGAGAAAGGATAGCCATAGCTCTGCTTCTGGCCTTTGGGGGAGGGGGGAGGATTGTTCCATCAGTTTGTTTTCTTTCCTCTCTATTAAAAGTCAAGTTTTGTGATTCAACTAGGTCATTCCCATCAACACATAAGCATGCTTCAATTCGTAAACCACAACAAAAGTATGATTTTTCCTAGCCTTTTGCCATGTCCCTTCCCCCGTCCATCCTCATACAGTCCCGTTGGCACACACCCAGGTGGGCACACAAATGCTCACTCACACCGTCTAGAAAGAAGGAGCACTTATGTCTTAGGACGCAAATGGGATCAACTTCTTGCCATACTAATTGGAGGAAATGTGAAGCAGAGAACCAGGGAGGCCAGACAGTCAAAATTGATGGACATTAGAAAGAACAGGGGGAAGCACCTGTCAAAATAGAACCCCAAACCTAGCTCAACTCTATCATTCAAGAATGAGGGTGAAGAAAAGAAATTTGCACAGATAAGACATTAGGAGAGCTTACCACCCAGAGATCCCCATGAAGGAGCGGGATGCCAGAAACAGTGACAGAGCAGGCACCTGGTCCGTGATCTCCACTCTGGGATCTGTGTCTAGCATGGAGCCTGGCACAAGTTAGGTACTTACTAAATATTTGTTCAAAGAATGGAGTTGGTATAAAAAGCAACAGTTAAAAATTTTGTGTTTCGTACTTGAGTGGAACCCAAACTCCAGATAATACAAGGAGGAATGGAGATAATTTTCAGTGAATCACCAACCCATTTTAAGATCCTTGTTTGGTAGGAGAATCAATATGCAGAATAATTTTGGAATTTGACAGAAAAATGTATAGTTCCACACAAATGATAAAGTTTAAAGCATAATTACCGTAAAAGAAAAAGAAATGTAACCTAAAGCTTCCAACCCACCAGAGGAAGGAAAAGAGGATTAAAGAATAATCCATCGGTTCCTACAAAAAGCAAGAAAGGAAAACAGGTGCAAAGATAAAAGAATGGAAAACCAACTATAAAGTAAGATGTCAGAAAGCAATCCAAATATATAGGCTAAAACTAAATCACACAAAAAGTGATAAGATAAAGGACAAAGGAGACTATAACCTGAGCTTTGTTCCTTACCCCTCAGCTCCCACTAACTTCCATTTCCTGTCCACCTGTCTGTTAAGGGTGTTGGGGATGCCAGACAGGTGGACTCCACTCGAAGCCCAAGCTACTGAGGAAACCTGGCACGTCTTTCCTCTCATGGGTCATGTGAGAACAAGGCATTTGGCCACATAGACATGTAGGTGGAGGACTAGAAGGTGGGGGCTCCTGGAGAGAGGTTGGCTTGCAGAGCTCTGGGAACCCCACAGGGAAAGTTTCTGTCAACCTTGAGAGAGGGGCTGGTCTCCTGGAGAGAAGCCCAGTGGGGAGGCTCTATTCTCCCTGCATCTGAGGTGAACAAGTTGAAGGAGACCAAAGCAAGGAAACCTCTTTCTGGTTCTGAGGTGAGGTGGGAATGGCAGCCCAAAGGTGGAGAGACCTCTTGGCCTTCTGTCACTCCGATATCACTACATTCTGAGGTGTTCCTCAAACCAGACCTGAGCACTCCCTCGAAAATACATCTAAGCCAGCCCAGCATCCTGAGGGCATAAGATCATTAGAATCAGAACATACGCCGGAGTTGCTGATGGAGAAGACAACAACTGAACAAGAACAGCAGAACCTAATCAATCAACTTCTTTTTTTTTTTTTAAAGCTTTTATTTATTTATTTGAGAGAGAGAATGAGAGACAGAGAGCATGAGAGGGAGGAGGGTCAGAGGGAGAAGCAGACTCCCTGCCGAGCAGGGAGCTCGATGCGGGACTCGATCCCGGGACTCCAGGATCATGACCTGGGCCAAAGGCAGTCGCTTAACCAACTGAGCCACCCAGGCGCCCCATCGATCAACTTCTTTAACAATGATCCAGTGAACACCTCTTATGTGGTTCCTGTTATTGGGCACTGAGATATTAGCAAGAAAAAAAGACCACTAATATTTATTAGCTTAGGGTTTCAAGTGCCACATAAAAATACTTTCTGGGACTAAATACCACAAATAGCGATGAAAAATGGAATAAATTGAAGGATAGAATAACCACTGTTTAAATGCAAATAAATGGCAGAGAAGATGAAGAGGAAGAAACTTCTCAGACTATCTAGGAAAGATGAGTAAAAATCACTGGGGCAAAGATAAGTGTTTGAGGATAATCCAGGTCTAGAGGTGAGAGAATTTTTGGAAGGAATAAAAAAGGAACAGATAGACGATAATAACACAAATAATGGAAAAAGATTACACTGAAATTAAGAAAGATCCAAGACTATCTATTGAAAAGGCCCACTAAATCCTGAAAAAATTGATAAAGATGTATGCATAGGCATATCCTAATAATATTTCTGAATTTGAAGGAGAAGGGGAAAATATTACAAGTTTCCAAACAGAAAAAACAAAGGCAAATATATATCACTGGTATTAGATTTCACTTATACAACAGAAGCTGGAAAATGGTAAAACCCACATCTACAGACTATCAAGACAAAGGGACCAAAGTCCAAAAATCCTATTACGAGCCAAGAGATTATTCATCTTTAAGACTGAGAAAGAATTCAGAGAATACATCACCCAGTTGTCCCAGCTAAGGAAAATACTCAAGACAGAACTTACAAAATAAACCTTGAGCACAGATATTGGGGAGATAAAGAGATGAGCCAACAGTGATGAGCAATGGTTTCTCTCATTTTATCTAATATCTACGTTTTTTGTCTATATAGATCAAAGTGGAGTGCTAGATGAAGATCTTGAAACAGAGAGAACATGTTGTAAGGGAAATTAGAATTTTCAACATCTAAAGATTATTATTTTCAAATAGTAATACATTCCCCATAGTTAAAAACCAAAAAGGTTGTATAAAGATCTACATTGAGAAGTCTCACTTGCTCCTGTGTATATATTCACCCTGCTTCTCCCCGTCCCCTCCATCTTTTATCTTCTCAGTGATTTTTAAATGTAAATTTAAATAATTACGAATATAAAATGTCCTCTCTTACACTAATATTCTAAATATATACATACCTGTTGTTTTCACTTAGCAACATATTGGGGAGAAAATTCCATATTAGTACATAAAGAATGGCCTTTTTCCCCCTTCTTTCTTTATAGCTGTAAGTATTCCATTTTGTGGACTTCCTAGAGTTGACTTAACCTGTTCCATATTGATGGATAGTTGGGTAGTTTTGTAATCTTTTGCTATTACAAACAATGTTGCCATTAATAATTTTGTACGTGGCAGGTTTGTAGTCCAAGTATATGGGTATAATACAATTCTAGAACTTGGACTGGCAGATCAATTAATAAATACTTAGACAATGAATAAATATGCAAATTACCCTTCATAGAGGTTTTTACTATTTGCAAGGATATTGTAATAAATCTTCTTGAACTAAAATATATCAGCAAAACTCAGGGGTTTTTGGTAGTGATGAGAGGGGGGAAAAACAAGTATTCCAAAATAGCAAAGTAGTGTGGCAGGGCAGGAAAGGGAACAAGCTAACTTTTTCTTAAAAGCATAGGGATTTATCTTTAGATAAGAACTTCTTTATAATGATTGAAGGAAAGATGGTAGGAATGGAATATATATGGCTATTTGGGCAGGAAGTTGAAGGAGTTAATACTTGATGATTTATTCATTCACTTATTCATTCAACAAATATTAGCTGAACACTTGCTATACGCCATGCCTGTTTCAACAAGGGGAATTCTATCTGTGGAACGAGATAGATGAAGTCCTCTAGTCTCCTGTGGCCTACGACTCTATTGAAGGAGGTAGACTTCAAACAACTTCATAAACAAATGTATAATGTGTCTGCAGATTGTAATTTGGGCTTGTTGACATGAGAGCAGGGAAGAGAAATAGGGAGCGAAGAAGAGATAATACAGTATTTTAAACAGGGTGATTCTAGCAGGCCTTCTGAGGAGGTGAAGTTTAAACAGAAACTCAAATGACCTCAAGGAATGGTTTTAACAAAGCATGTTCAGAAAGAGGTAATAAGAAGTGCGAAGGCCCCAAATTGGGAACTTGTCATGAGGCGAAGTCTGTTAGTCCCCCCAATCTGTTCCATGGACATAGCAGGGACTTGAGGTCAGTTCTTTAAGGATACAATTCAGACTCTTGTGAGACGTACAGAAGCCTTCCCAGTCAGAGCCTTCCTTACCTTCTTCAGCCTTGTCCCATCTGCTCTTACCACAAGCTATCCTCACCAGCCATAGTAAACACTCACCTTCCATGAGATGAACCAACACTTCCGGTACCTTGACTCCATTGTATAAGATGTTTTATCTTCTCAGCAGGCTCTCCCTCCTTCTCCTTTTGATTTCACTTGGAGAATTTCTCCTCATTCCTCAGGAATCCCTCCCCTGACCACGAGGGTGCCCTTCCTGTGCAATCTCCAAAGCTTTCAACACTACTTCCTCTCATTCACCACCCTCCTCTGTCTGAGTGGCCCACTGACCAGCCTCCTGAGAAGTGTCATGTCAAGGACTGTCTTATCTGCCATCGTATGTGAGTAAGGTACCATGCCGCCTTGCAGATTGGGGGTCTCAGTAAATATTTGCGGAATCAGTGCATGAGTAAATGGAGACTGAGAGCCACATCTTGCGCTGGCTTATTAGCCATGTCACAGTGAACTCTGAACCAGCTCTATCACCCTCTGGACCTCAGCTGCTTCATTTTAAAATGGGCATAACAATACTTACCTGTCGGGTGAAGTGATTAAGTCATATCACATAAGAACAACCTCCGCACGGTCCGTGATACAAACTTAGAAAAATAGTTGGATTCTCGCCCCTACACAGTTAGTCAGAACCTTCTGAAGGCAAATGACAGAAACCAAACTAAAAGTGATTTTAGCAAAGGAGAAGCTATTGGCTCATATAAGTAGGGAATTCAAGGTGGTGCTGGATCCAGCTTCCAGACAGACTGGATTTAGTGCCTAATAGATGTCTGTAGGACGCTGTCTTTTCCACGTTTGGGTCTGTTTTACTCTAAATTAGCTTCATTCTCAGTTGGTTTTCTCCAATTGTTAGTAGGAATAGGCAGTAGGTTTTGATGTCATCAGTTTAGTAGTAGAGAATGAGCTATTCTTTCCCTGGAGCTCTGGGAGGTCTGGGCCGACTCATTAACCTGACTTGGATCGTGTTCTCATTCCTGACCAATCTCTGCATCCTGAGCTCATCCTTGGAATGAGGCCAACCTGGTCAGCTTAAATTATTCCCAAGGATATTCAGTGGACTTTTACCAGTTTGCTTCCAGGTAGGAAAAAAACAAGGACTCTAAAAAGAAAGAAAAGGAGTAAGTCAAGGCCCAATAAAAATTCTGGATCAATTGCCTGGATATTATAATGATAATTACAGTATCCTGCAAACCTAAAGATTTACATAAGAACTCTAAAGGTTCATGTGACGTAACAGCTTAGCCTGAAGATACTGAACCATTCAAATAAATTGTTGTCCATTCCATTTTGAAGTGCTTTTTTTGTTTGGAAGTTTTATCGAGATATAATTCACATAGCACAAAATTCACCCATTTAAAGTATGCAGTTCAATGGCCTCTGGTACAATCACAGAGTTGTATAACCATCACCACAATCTATTTTAGGACATCTATTTAAAAGACTTTTAATGCACAGATTATAAAGACTTTATTGCTGGTCTATAAAAACTCAAGGTCTTCCTTTTGTCTCAACAATACTTTGAACACAGGACTCTTGCTATAACAAAACCATCTTCAAACTCTCACACATAATTCATATCCAACATATACAATCTATAAACATGTGACCCATCATGACTGTGGTAACTGCCTGACAGCTTCTGGTAGCTCCAGAATGACAGTCTTATATGACCAACCCCAGCATCTGTCACTAACAGAGGCCAATTCACGTGAAGTTTTTTTCCTTTTTATTCCTTTCATGTGTGTTGTTCAAAATGCATATCCTTGTCCCTTGCCCTCACTCTACAACCTTTTCTTTTGTTGGCATACAATTTTTCTCCCTTTATTTGCCTCCCATTCCTAAACTATCATACTTTAGAATTTTTTTTATTAAGTTTTTCAATTTTATACCTTAAGTCTACCTATTCCCTAAATGATGTTTTTATTTCTTCATTTATTTGTGTAGGTTGACTATGTCAAAGGAAAATTGTGGTATAATGAAAAATGTTTTGCTAACAGAGAACACTTTGAAGGTAAATTGAGAAGAGATATAAACAGGCTTTTTTCAACATAGATGGCATATAAAGATTAAATAAAATGACATAAAATAAAAATACAATAAAGTAGAAAGGTGGGCTTGCTTTATATAAGTCACTGGCCTAAAACTGAGGGGAAAAATTAAGTCTGAGACAATAGGCATGCTCTGTTATAAGTGCAAAAAAAATTATATTTGCATATACTTAATGATACATTTAGAAATATAGATACTGCTTGTAATTTCTGTACCTTTATGTTTTATAGTTGATTATGTTACTATCACCTTTGAGAGAAACAGGACTCTAAGTGAGGTATGGTATTAAATATTTTATTTTTTAAAGATTTTATTTATTTGAGAGAGAGTGAGAGAGAGCGCGCACAATTGGGGGGAGGGGCAGAGGGAGAGGGAGAAGCAGACTCCCCTGATGAGCAGGGAGCCCGATACAGGACTCGATCCCAGGACCCTGAGATCATGACCTGAGCCGAAGTCAGACGTTTAACCAACTGAGCCACCCAGGTGCCCTTGGTATTAAATATTTTAAAAGTTAAGAAATTTTACTTCTTGGATTGTTTCATGAATTGTTATTCACCTAAAAGATGGCAATTCTACAGGCTGAAAAACTTCATCCCTCTTTGCACCCAGTTGTGCCTATACTTGGGTTTAGTGGCAGTTACCTAGTGATGTTAAACCCGGACCTACACAGTAGTTCTAGAAAAACAACCCATGCCAGAAAGAGATGCTTTGCAGCGTTTTCTGGACTCCCATCCCCAGAAGAGAAGCATAGACATCAAAGAGTTATCACTATTATTTGTGGTCTGTCAGGACAACACAGTGGTTTGCTAGTTTGTTTGCTTAAGATAACTGATTAGAACTTACATTTTAAAAAATGGCATTAACTTTCCCTTCTCTTTTTGTAGTCAAGCTCTTGTTTTTATACCAAAGAACCATTTCATGAATGGTTACCTTGCTTACCTCATATTTTAAAAGGAATGAAATCTTTTCCTTCAACTGTGATAACATTTCTTGTTGACCAAGAGCATAGTGCCGGAATCTACCTCTTCTCCAGCCAAGTAGGCCATAAGGTGATTGCTCTTGATGATACAGCAATGAAAATTTATCTTAGCAAACATTTATTTCCAAAGTCTTTTTTATCTGTGGCAGTAGAAGTTGATAAAATTAGTTACAGCAAAATTATTTATGGTCAATAATATAGTTTAAGGCACTCTAGAGATTTCTTGCCTCTGCTGGTCATTCAGTTTGATGAAAGTGGAAAACCGGATGCTCTTTGCATAGTGACTTTTCTTTCCGTATTCTCCAGGAGTATATAAGCTGAGCTTGGTTTATATAAAGGTTCCATTAGATAGTTTAAAGGAACAAAAAATGGAACTAGCCTTAGACTTATAATTTTAGGGGAGAAAAAAATAATTGTTCTCTACCCTCCTTTGTTCAGTGATTGGGAATTAAACTGCAAATTAAACTGATAAAAGATCAACAGGAGAAGAGAAAACGATTTATGCATGCAGTGTACATACACGTAGGTGAAAATCAGTGAGGAGAAACTCTAAAAGGTGGTTAGAATTTGGGGGCTATATATCATCTTAGTAGTTTAAGGGGACAGTTGAGAAAGGCACTTAAGGAAAAACAAGCAAAAAGATAATGGGTTAACAAGGGAGCAAATAGGAGATAAGAAAGTTTGTGGTAATGTTTGTTTATACAGGTATGAGTGGTTTTCCCATCTCCTCAGGGCCATAAAACTCCCCAGGAGGAGGGATTTGGGGTAGGATTTATTTGCATTCTCCCTTCTGGGATTAGATCTGTTCTGAAGAAGAATTAATGGTAGCCTTATTTCTCAGAAGTTCCTGCTTTTAGTCAGAAAAGGGAAGGCTTTTTTTCTGCATCTGTTGAATCTTAAATGTCTGCAGCTAACAATAATCTCTATACCACAGTGGCATATCTTGAGGTACATATTCTGACCCCCTACAACACCGCGATCCAATAGAACTAGAATGTAGCCCAGGCAACCACACTTAAAAAGGTAGTTTGCCATCACAGTTGTAAGCATGGGCATTGGAATCTGTCTTTGGAGTTCAGCAATGGTTCTATAATAAAATTTTCCCATGCCATTTATTATAGAAGCTTGGACAAATTATTTAATCTTCTGAACTTCATGTTCAACATTTACAAAATGGACACATAAGGCAGGGGGAGGCAGAACAAAGACATATTGATGGTTGTTAATCCTTCCAGTTCTATGCTATGTTAATGGATGTGTCCCTATCTTAATCAAAACCCAAGTAACAGACGGGCGCCTGGGTGGCTCAGTTGGTTAAGTGACTGCCTTTGGCTCAGGTCATGATCCTGGAGTCCCGGGATCGAGTCCCGCATCGGGCTCCCTGCTCGGCCGGGAGTCTGCTTCTCCGTCTGACCCTCCTCCCTCTCGTGCTCTCTGTCTCTCATTCTCTCTCGCAAATAAACAAAACCCAAGTAACAGGAAACACAAGAAATTGTAACGTAGTCTAGTAATATTAATGGTAATATTCTTCTGATTTGTTCATGGTTTGCTTATCTATTTCTAGAAAAGCACCACTGCCTCTGTGAGCATCCTAAAAAATAACAAACCAGGATTAAAACCAAAATTTCCACTTTTCGTATTTCCTTCATCATTCTCATCTCCTGTTGGAATGGTATTCCATCCACGAAGCCATTTTCTCTATGCTTATGGTAATCAGGTGCGTACACATGAAATTTCATGCTCTAGTGTAGGTGTGAATCATTCACTTATTCTATGGTGAGTGGTTGTACATCAGGTAAAGAACAGAGTCACTCTGATGATCAGGGAGGTCAAAGGCCCAGTGAAGAGAGAATGAGAGGAGAGGGATTAGTAACAGCAAATAAAAACACATCTTTTGCAAAGTTTTCGTGAAAAGTAGAGCAGTGAAATGCAGCAATGGTAGCAGGAGGAAGGGAGGTCAAGAGAAGATTAAGAGACAGAAGGAATTAGGCTGTGCTGATGGGAATTATTCAGTAGAGAGAGAAAAACTGATGGTGCAGGTGAGAGAGACAGAGAGAGGAAGAATTGCTGGAGTGACATTTCTAAATAGGTGAGAGGAGATGCAATCTATGAACTAGAAGACAGGTTGGTCTTAGGAGCTCCTATAGTAAAAGGAAGAAGGGGGAGTTTTTGGGTTCTAAAGCTGATAATTGGGTAGACGTAAGGGAAGGGTGTGGGAATTTATCTTTTATTTTCTCAACAAAAATCAAAATTATTATTTGAGAGTGAGGATGGAGGAGTGTTAGGCATTTGAAAAAAGAGAACAGAGTGAAATAATTGCCCGGGGGTGGGGGGTGGGAGAGTGGATTGACTGAGGGAAGTCAGTATGATTGCTTATGCTTTGTGCTTATGAATTCCAAGTGCGGCCAATTCAGCATTATTGAATATTCTTCTCCGTGTTCAGTTGCGGGAACCCATACACAGTGGAAAAGACAGAGAGTTGTATTTAACCACAGTTGGAGTTTTACCAAGGCATGATTAAGAAGTAAAAGAGTATCCAGAAGGGAGTGCAATAAGACAAAGAAAAAAATTAAGAAATCAAAGGCATGAATATTAAAAAGTCATTAACAAACTATTTACTTGCAGAAAATATGATTGCCCATATAGAAAATTTAAAAGATACATACAAATTATTAAAAGCAGAAAAGTTAAACAATGTGGAAGGGCAAGTCAATTTCATCTCTGCAACAAATTTAAAAGCATAATTTTTATGACATTATTTACAATAGCAAAAACAAAACAAAGCAAAATGACATACAAAAAAACTGTAAAGTGGGGCACTTGGCTGGCTCAGTCAGTGGAGTATGTGACTCTTGATCTCAGGGTTGTGAGTTCAAGCCCCATGTTGTGTGTAGAGATTACTTAAAAAATAGTACCTTTTAAAAAAAAACTATACATAAGAATAAATCTAAGATTCCTAAGATCTATATGTAGAAAATTATAAACTTTATTGAAGGACATTTAAAACTTTATAAAGAAATGGATATAAACATACTTGTGGATAGGAAACTTGTCTTATAATTTCTTCCTCAAATTAATCTATATCTAATACAACTTTAATCAAAATCTCAAGGCTTGCTGTAGGGTTTAAGTTAATTCTAAAGTATATATGGTATATGTCAATTCTACCTCAGTTTTTAAAAAATGTAAATAAAGTAAAAAAAGAATATATATGGAAAAACAAAAGACCAAGAATAACCAAGACACTTATAAAGAAGAATAAGGATGAGGGATCTGCATTACCAGATATTCACACTTTTTAAAAAGTTGTAGTAATTATAATAATGTGGTTTTGACTCAGGAACAGACAGATTGACCAACGGAATGAAACAGAAAGCCCACGAATAGCCCCATCATATCTAGAATGTTGATAGAAGTCAAAAATTGTCTGACTCTTCTGAGGGAAAAATAAGAGATTGCTCAAAATGGGATGGGAAATATTGGTTACATATGGAAAATGTTGAAATACATACCCATACTGCAACATACATCAAGTCCAACTCCTAATGGATTAATAATTTAAATATAAAAACTTCCAAAGGAAAATATAAGTGAATATCTTTCTCAAATCAAGGTAGGGAAAGCATTTTAAAACAAGACTTTAAAAAAACAGTAACCATAAAAAAAAAAAATAGCATCACTTTCATTAAAAAGAATTCTGGATCTGCAAGATGGCAGATTAAGAAGGTTTAGGCATTTGTTCTCCCACACACATTGAGTCAGCAACAATATACAGATCAGAGTACCTTTGCAAGAAGTCTAGAGACCAGTTGATTAGCTACAGCACCCCAACCAATGCAAAACCAAAAAGGGATTCTAATAAAAGGGGCAGGAAAATTTGCCCATCTGTGCCCCACCCCCAGCCACCCTAGTGTAGCACAACCAGGAGGAATCCTCCTGCTCAAGGGATCCTCCTTTGGGATAGGAACAAGAGTGGACCTTGCATGCAACACTCTGGCTTGTCTGAGGGCTACTCAAGGGACTGGTTTCTATCTTGCCTAACCCAGAGCACTGAGAGGACTTGTTTGGAAACTGCCGAAACAAGGGGAGTAATGTTGGCAAGATGGTAGAGCAGGAACGTTCAGACCCTCCCTTTCCTCCAGAGACACCAATTTAACAAAATGCCGAGCAGAATACCTTTGCAAGAACTCTGGAATCCATTTGAGAAACTACAGCATCCAGACCAACCTAAAGCCAAAGAGATTCCAACAAAAGGGGTAGGAAAACTTGCAGCATTTTCCATATCCATCCACACCTCTCCTCCTATATGACTTAATGCAGCACAACTTGGAGGAAATCTCCCCCACCAGGGATCCTCCCTCAGGAGAGAAACACAATATTAACTGAGCGTCCAACATTCTGGCTGGGCGGGGGAATCTGTTTCATCTGACTCAGAGCACTGATGGAACGGGCAGCCTTGTTGAGAATCTGTTGAAAACAGGATCACTGTAGCACTTCAGAGCTGCAGTTCTACACCCACATGCCAGGGGCAGCAAGAGCTTATGGGTGTCTGAAAGGAGAGGGATAAACTGCTTAGGCAATTTGAGACAACTAAAAACACAGCACAAGCCAGAGAAAACACATCCTTATAAGAGATTTCAGAAGTCCTAGAACCTCTAGCTGGTCTGATTGGTAAGGGTCTGCATGAAGCCAGTCCATAAACACTGGGAGAAGTGGTTGTATAATCAAATGCCCACATCTCAAAATAATAGCATGACAAGGCATGCCAAAGAAACAAGGAAACATGGCCCAGTCAAAGGAACAGAATAAATCCCTAGAGAATGACCCTAAAGAAATGTAGACCTACTAGCTGCCTGACAAAAAGATGCTCAATGAGCTAGAAGAGAACACAGATAGAAAACTAATAGAAATCTAGAAAATAATGAACGAATGGAGAATATAAAAAGGAGAAACTATGAAAAGGTCAAGCAGAAGTTCTGGAGCTGAAACATGGAATAACTGAACTGAAATACTCACTAGAGGAGTTGAACAGCAGATGTGATCAAGCAGAAGAATCAGCAAACTTTGGGGAGAGGCTGTTTGAAATCACCAAATCAGAGAACAAAAAGCAAAAAGAATGAAGAAAAGTGAAGAGAGCCTCAGGGATTTATAGGGACTATCAAACAGACATATCAATGCAATATGGGAGTTACAGAAGTAGAAGAGAGAGAAAAAGGGGCAGGGAGTGCTTATTTAAAGAAATAATGGCTGGAATTTCCCAAATTGAGGAAAGAAATGGGCACACAGATTAAGAAGCTTAAAGAGCTCCAATCACAATAAATCAAAAAGACTAACACTGAGACACATAATCAAAATGTCAAAAGTCAAAGACAAAGAGAGAATCTTGAAAGAAAGGAGAGAAAAGTGACTCACTCCGTACAAGAGAACTTCCATAAGATTATGTTCTGGGTGGACAAAAAAAAAACCTGAAGAGAGTCCTTCAAGGTGAAAATAAAGGATATCAGACAGCAACATGAAGTCCCATGAAAATAAAAAGTTTTCCAATAATGTAAATACATGGACAAATCTAGCATTTTGTATTAATGTAATTGTGGTGCATAAATTCACTTTTAATTCTTGTATAGAATTTAAATGAGAAGGTAACTTTTAAAAACCAAAATCTATGCTAATGACTATATAATATAAAAAGATGTAATTTGTGCCATCAGGAACACAAAGTGGGGAGGTAGAGCTGTGTAAGAGGAGATTTTGCATGCAATGAAGTTAAGTTGTTATCAGATTTAAAAGAATGTTATAACTTTAAAATATTTTATGTAATTGCAATGATTACCATGAAGAAAATATATTTAGGATATATGCACAAGAAAATAAGGGAATCAAAGAATGTCACTACAAATGATCAATGAAATGTTAAGGAAAGCAGTAAGAGAGGAAAGGAGGAGGGACAGAAATCTACAAGACACAAAACAACCAACCAACCAACCAACCAACCAACAAAAACAATAAACAAAATGACAATAGTAAATCCTTCCATATCAGTAATTACTTTAGATGCATATAGATTAAATTCCCCAATCAAAAGACAAAAATGAGCTGAATGCATAAAAACAAAAAACAACAACAAAAAAACCCAGGATGCAACCATATGCTGTCTACAAGAAATTCACTTCAGATCTAAGCACACACATAAGCTGAAAGTGAAAAGATTGAAAAAAAAATTCCATGCACATGGTAACCAAAAGAGAACAGGGCTGGCTATATTAATATCATACAGAATAAACTGTAAGTCACAAAGTGTTATAAGAGACAAGGTCATTATATAATAATAAAAGGTCAATTCACCAAGAAGATATAACAATTAAAATTATCCATGCACCAAGCATCAGAGTTAATATATGAAGCAAACTTTAAAAGAACTGAAGGGAGAAGCAGCAACATAACAGTTGGGGCCTTCAATACCCCACTTTCAATAATGGATAGAAAAACCAGACAGAAGATAAATAAGGACATAGAAGACGTGAACCACATTGTAGACCAATTAGACCTAATAGACATAATCAGATGACTCCACTCAACAACAGCAGAATATAAATGCTTCTCAAATACACACAGAGCATTCTTCAGGACAGAACATAAGTGAGGCCACAAAACAAGTCTCAACGCATTTAAAGTGACTAAAATTATGCAAAATGTCTTTTCTAATCGCAATGGAATGAAACTAGAAATCAATAGCAGAAAGAAAACTGGAAAATTCACAAGTATATGGAAATTAATCAATACATTTTTAAACAACCAATGAGTCAAAGAAGTAGTCAGAAGGGAAACTCGGGCACGTGTTGTGATGATCACTGGGTGTTATATGCAACTAATGAATCATTGAACACTACATCTAAAACTATTGATGTACTATACAGTGGCTGACAACATAATAAAAAAAAAGAAGGGAAACTAAAACATACCTTAAGAAAAATAAAATGAAAACAAAACACACCAAATTTATGGGATGCAGCAATAGCAATACTAATAGGGAGGTTTATAACTATAAATACACAGGTTAATAAGGAAGAAAAATCTCAAATCAACAACCTAACTTTACAATTTAGGGAACTATAGAAAGAAGAAATCAAACCAAAATTAGCACATGGAAGGAAATGATAAAGACTAGAGCAGAAATAAATGCAATAGAGAATACAAAAATAATAGAAAAAAATCATTAAAACTAAGAGCTGGTTCTTTGAAAGTTCAACAAAATTGATAAACTCTTAGCTATAGTCACTAAGAAAAAAAGAAGAGTCAACTAAAATAAAAAATTAAAGATGAGACATTACAACTGATACCACAGAAATAAGGATTATGAGATTATGAAAAATTATATGCTAGCACACTGGATAACCTAGAAGAAATGGATAATTTCCTAGAAACACATACTACCAATAGTAAATCATGAGGAAATAGAAAATCTGAACAGACCAAAAACTAGTTACAAGATTGAATAAGGGATTAATATGCAGTATATAGAGAGAACTTCTACAACTCAGCAATAAAAAAACTAAGCAATCTGATTAATAAATTGGCAAAGGACTTGAATAGAAATTTGAGTAATCAAATACCTCCCAACAAAGGAAATCCCAGGACCAGATGGCTTTATTGATTGAATTGTTCTAAATATTTAAAGAATTAACACCAATCCTTCTAAAACTCTTACCGAAAAATTGAAGAAGGAACATTTTCAGGGTCACTCTCTGAGGCCAGTGTTACCCTAATACCAAAGCCAGATAAGTACACTCTAAGAAAAGAAAACTAGAAATCAATATCCCCAAGGAACATTCATGCAAATGTCTTCAACAAAATACTAGCAAACTGAATTAAAGAGTGCATTAAAAGGATTATATATACCATGAACAAATAGGATTTAATTCTGGAATGCAAGGATGGTTCAACATATGAAAATTAATAAATGTAATACACCACATTAACAGAAGGAAGATGGAAACCTACACAATCATCTCAACATGAGATGTTGACAAGGATATGGATCAATCAGATCTCTTATCCATTGCTGATGGGAGAGTGAATTACTACAAACTATTTTAGAAAGCAATTTGGCATTATTATCTTGTAAATTACAATGGTTGCATATGCTATGACTCACCAATTTCACTTTTTCGGCAAGGGAAACACATATATGAGGAAAAATCGTAAAATTTTCATCATGACCCTGTTAGTAATAGCATTAAAAAACTGAAAATAATCCAGATGACCATGAATAGGAGAATGAATAAATAAATTGCAGTTCATTCACATAATGAATTATTATACAGCAATATAAAAGCAAATGAACTGAGCTATATGCAACAAGTATGAATATAAGTAAATAATGTTGAGAGGAGGAAAAGTAAGTTTTAGAAGACAATATATGGATGATATCTTTTTATAAAGAGCAAAAAGTAAATTTAAGCAATATATTACTTAAACATGCATACATATATATTGCTAAAACTAAAAAAAAAATTGTGAAAACACAAATTTCATTTCAGAATATGGGACATCTCTGAGGGAAGATGCAGGCTGATAGGATTGGAGAGAAAGAAGAAAATGCAAAGTACTAGCAACATACTAATTCTTGGGTTAGAATGTCAGTTTACACATGTTCATTATGAAATAATATAAGAAAAGTAAAAGTGAGCTGTACATGGATCAATAATTTAAAATTGAAAAAATGCAATGAGATGCCATTGTTTTCATTCAGGTAATCAGTAAAAATTAAAAGTAAATTTTTGATAATATCAAGTATTTGTGAGGTTTGGGAATACACTGCTAATGGGAATATAAAGTGGTTCGGGGAAATTGAAAAGCATTGTAGCATTTCTATTAAAATTATACAAATATGCATAGCTTCTAACTCAGCAACTCAATTTTTCAGTATCTGCTCTAGAGATATACTTCAACATTAGTACAGAGAGACAGGTCAATGAATATTGCTTGTGGTATTGTCTGTAACAGTGAACATTTTGATACAACGTTTAAGTGTCCATTAGTAGGAAAATAGAGTATCTCCAGTATGGTATATCCATAATATTGGATACTATGCAGCAAAATAGAAGAATGTGAAGAGCTACACGAGCTAATATAAAATGATCTGAGATATTT